AATTAGGGTGGCAGCTAGCCAAATGGTGCCCTCCTTTGCGGAATGCGCGCGGGATTAGTCCCTGTATCTAGGCCTTTTTCTGACCACTCAAGTCGCCAGGGTTTTAAGCTTGATTTTTACGTGCGGTGCCGCCCAGCCGCACCATCAGCCTACATGACTTCTGCCTGCCCGTGATTTGATCTTGCAAGGATGTGTCGAATGCGTCTGCCTCCTTCGCGACACTGTGTGCGGGGGGGCCAAGTAAGCATATTCTGGGACCCTGGTTTCGTCTCGCTTCACGACCATTCGACTCGCTGCAGCGTGGTATTCCATGACACAAGTAGTCCAGCGCTCTTGGGAATTAAAGCTCCCTGAATAATTCGCCGAATTCTCTGCGCCTAGGCCGGGACGGGTCAAGAGGCGGCGGGACCTCTCCATCTCCATCTACATGTACTCTGGTAGAACGTGCCCTTTGCGCTGCTCGTCCACGTTTGCCAAGATGCCCTACCTCAGCCACCTTGTCAGTAGTGGTTGTTGTCCTTCTTCTCTAGCACGACCATTGTCGAAGACTAGGCTAAGGGATCTGCTCTGTGCTACGGCGTTTTGCGCCTGCTCGCTTCTCTATGCGTCGCCGCCAGGAGCCGCATCCCAGCTCGAGCCCACGCGGTTAAACTATGAAGAGCGCGGCTGGTTTCTCCGTCATACGTTTTGATTGACGACGTCGCGATTCACTTTTGTCTATACAGTAGGGCTTCACTGTATAGATCAACTCGACCTCTGAACGGATCCGGAAAACCGGCTTGGCCGCCCAGACATCTGTGGCCCAGTTACGTGGATCCATGCCACCGTCTGCTTTCGGCTCTTGGCAGCTATTGTCCATCTGCAAGTCGTCTCGTCTGTCTCACACAACTCGCGGAGGCGCCGTCGGGTACGACGACGATCGCTCGCCGCCCCGTCCCAGAGCAGATGGAAATGGGTGGAGAGCTACGGCAGCCTCTTGATGAACGATCCAATCCTTCACCCTGGCCCTCCTCCTCCTCCCAAGTCTCACCTATCCACTCCTGGAACTCTCCATGCAAATGGCCTGGTCTTCCCTGCATAAGAAACGTGCGCTAATGATACCTGCGTCATTATCCCCGAGAGCCGCTGCTCAAGTCACTCCTTATCTCGCCGAGTCCCTGAGCTTCTAAATGCGTAAGTGGTACGGGTTGGTCTTCTTGGGTGGGAGGAGAAGGGTATAATTGGCGGTCCCATGCTGGTCGATGGCGAAATCGAGCGCCCTCCACTTCGAATTGCTGTCGAAACTTCTTCGAAGCAAGTGCCTTTGTTGATTGATCTTTGGTGACTGTGTTGCTTCGGCCCCATGGTATATCTTGGAGTCCGCCTCGCCTGATATCATTCCCTTCTTGCTGCCCTCGTCTTGAGACTGGTTTGTTTTACGCCTTCGTCCTCTCGGCCCTCCTTCTCACTCTCAGAAACTGGACATTCTCTCGTCCAGTATTCTCTAATTCCTATATCCAAGTGGACAGGTCTTTAATGTTTTGATGAGCCCGGTGCTAAAGTTAATTGCTGACTACTGTTTGCGCGACTGGTGATCTGAGCCTTATTCAACGCTACCGCAGAGCTTGCGACTGTATTTCGCTTTCTGCTTGATAAACCTTGTTTCTGTCACGGGCGGCCCTGTCAACAGTCGCGTGAGGACTGAAGGGAGACAAGGAGGCAGTCTTCCCTGTCCAGCATGAACGCCATCAAGAACTTTGGCACCAGCATTGCCAATGCGCCCCGGAGGGCGGCCGAGCTGGGCCCGGTGGGGGTCTTGAAGAAGGTTGGAAACGCCTTTGCGCCGCCTCCCGATACCGCCGAGGATGGCCGTGACCAGTGGCCCTCGAGGACGGCCTTTGTCCTCGCCGCGATGGGTGGATGCGCCGGCATGGGTAACCTCCTGCGGTACCCTTCCGTCGTCTACAACAACCACGGGCTGCAGTGGTACATCCCCTATCTCATGTGCGTGTTCCTCATTGCGATCCCCGTGCTCGTCCTCGAAATCGCCATTGGGAATGCCTACCGTGCGGGTTCCGTCGTCGCCTTCAACAGCATGAACCACCGTCTCAAGGGAACCGGCCTTGCGATGCTGTTCATCGGCTTCGTCGTCACCCCTTACTTTGTCGTCAACCTCGCCTGGATCATGGTCTACTTCCGGTACTCTTTCCACAGCCCTCTGCCCTGGGCTGGTCGTGCTACTGAGTTCTACAACAATATCACATCCGTTGTCCCGGAGCCCATTCCCGGTAACTTCACCGCCGATGGCACTGGTATCCTGGACTGGACCGAGTACGTTGGTACAAGCGTCAATGGTGAGACTGTTGGCTGGTGCATCTTCACATGGTTCCTCGTCTGGCTCTCCATCTTCCGTGGGTGTGGTTTGACTGGCCGTGTTGTCTACTTCACCATGGGGCTCCCCATTGTTGTCACCATCATCCTCATCGGCCGATCCTGCTCCCTGCCCAACGCCAGGGATGGCATCAAGCTGTACTTTGCCACATGGAGAGGCTCCGAGCTTGCCAAGGGTTCACTCTGGCAAACCGCCTGCGGCCAGGTCTTCTTCTCTACCGGTGTCGGTTTTGGGTACTTCACCTCGTACGCTTCATACAACAAGAAGCACTCTAATGCCGTGGTGGACTCCATCCTCGTCGTTTCCAGCAACGTCCTCTTTGAGAACATTGCCGCCTTTGCTGTATTTGGTGTTGTTGGTTATCTGGGCATGACCCCTGATCCTGAGGAGAGGCTGGGCAGTTTCATGGTCGGGTTCCTTACCCTTCCCGAGGCCATTGTTCAGATGCCTGCTTCCAACCTTTGGGCTGTTCTCTTCTTCTTCACCCTCATGGTTCTCGGCTACAGTTCCGCATTCGCCATGCTGGACGCCGTCGTGACTCTCATCATGGACGCCAAGCCAAGGTGGAATCGTATCATCGTGGTGACGACCTCTGTGGTGGTCTCGTTCCTTCTGTCCATCCCATACTGTGCCGAATTCGGCACCTATCTGCTGACCGGAGTCGATCGTTGGATCAGTGACGTGGCCCTCGTGTTCGTTGTCTGGGCTGAGTGTGTTTGCGCTACTGTTGTCTACCGATGGCACGACGTTGTCGAGCAGGTGGGATTGCCCGCCTTCGCTCTGTACTCCTTTGCCTACTTTGGAGCCCAGGTCCTCGGTGTCATTGTCGCCCACACCGTGAGCGCAGAGGCCGGCGCTGGAACCGGCTTTGGTATTTACATCGCCTTCACCGTTGCTGCTGTGCTCGTTGGCAAGACCCCGGATGCCAAGTCGGCCAAGTTCAGGCTCTGGGGAACCGAGAGCCAGGGTTTCCTGAGGCCCTTGGAGAGCAGTGCCCTTTTCCAACGTTTCTGGTTCCTTGCTTTCTATTCTGTAAGACTCGCACAAATCCCCCCCAATTGGCATTTCCTTCTCATGCTGACCACCTTTTCTGTAACAGGGTAACCAATTACGCCGTGACTTGAATCTGATCGTCGGCCAGGGAAGAAACTGGAGCATCCCCGTCTTCTGGTCCGCTCTGCTCCGATACGTGGCCGGCCCGGCCCTCGCCATCGTGTTCAGCTTCTCCTACCCCTCGTTCTACGCGCTCCGCAACGACCCGCTCCACGTCCTCGGGTTCGGCGTCGGCCACATCTGCCTCGTCATCATCTTTGCCGGCTTCATCGTCCCCAAGTGGTTCGACATCTTCATCCCCCCCGGCCGCCGCGGCGAGGGCCAGAGCAAGTGGGGCGCCATGGTCGACGCCAACATCGAGGAGATGGAGGAGAACGTGCGCCTGGAGAACGCCAAGAAGCTGGAGAGGGACGACGACTCCGTGAATGCGGGTGTCGTGGCCGGTGATGGGAATGACCTGGCGGCCAGCTCGTCCGACACTTCCAAGCAGCCTCGGGAGACTGCTTCGAAGGAGAAGATGGGTAACTGAAGCGGGGGAATTCCGTGAAAAGCAAATGTGTGATGTGTGCAAAGGATATGATCTGACCCCCCTACTGCTGACTCCTTCGAGATTTGTGTGGTGATCCTCGCTTATGGAAGAGGAGTTATTGAGCTTGACTATGTGCAAGATGCTTTGGTGTGACGGATAGAAGGGAGAATTTGCCACTCGCTCCATTTTGATTTTTGATTTCGCTGCTTCTCCATGTTTTATATTCTAGGGTTTCTTGGTATTCTGGAGGGGTTTCTTTCGTTTTGATTGAATAGCATGATGATACCACGGACTTGGAAAAGGGAATGCGCTTGATACATAATACCCCGCGTTTATACAAACACAAGACACTTTCGCCGCCTTGTCGGCCTGGAACGTTGATCCAACTTGCTGCTCTCTCACTCACCCAAAGCAGCTACTTCACACACGGCTCTCTGAACTAAGGTAATTATGCAGCAGCATTGATTCATAGGCTAACTATATCTAGTTGGACAGGCTGGGTTACATATTTCAAGGCAGGGCCTCTCATTGCCTATGATGTCGACAATTATGTGTTGATGTCTCTGTTGAGGTGAGTCTTGATGATGGTAAGTAGGTATCGAGTATCAGCCACGCAGATACATATATATCAGAGTGTTGAATAGATCTTTAACCTGATATTTATATTAAGCATCATAGTATCAAAATAGCAGATGCATTGGAAATCCGAGATCTTGTTCTGTATACCGTTGAAGATGATATGTCTGGCTATGGTGATATAATGTGTCATATGTATGGGTATAATTACATCTTGGGGCACAGAACATACACATGGGTACTATATAAATACACGTATAACTAAATATAGGTTAACATCTTGTGAAATAAAAAGAGTGACACTTTGTGTGTTTTGGGTTGTTTGGATGAAAGAAGTGACGGTGTGCTAACAACCTCTTACAGCCAGGCCCCACCGGCATTCCACAAGCAGCGCATTATTATCTGACATCACCAAACTCACCAAGCCTCGTAGACCGCACATTGCCAACCGACAAACACACACCTTTGACAATGGTACGGCCCTCCCCTGCTGGAACACAAGCAGCCTCCCCCTCCGCTAACCACCTGGCTCGCAGAACAAGGATTCCACATTCACGTACGTGCACATGCGCGAGCCGCGCCACGCCGACCTCTTCGAGGACTTCTGCCGCGACCGCCTGCCCGAGGACGACATCTACGTCCCGCCGCAGCACCAGCCCGTCAACCCGGAGGACGAGGACGACGTCGTGCCCGACCAGCACGCCGCCTTCGGCATCCAGCGCGCCACGCAGAAGACCCGCGAGCCCGCCTGGAAGGACCTCGGGCTGGGCGACCTGATGAAGAAGGGCCCGCCTCCCCCGGGCGCGGGTGGTTCCAGCAGGGGCGCCGGCACCGGGTCGTCGCGCTCGCGTCCGTCAAAGGCGCTACCGAGGTGATTTGCGAGGTCAACCCCTTCGTGAGTGCTGGCCAAGGATAATGGCTGGAGTGGTAGCTTGGGCGTTTTGGGACATGAATGAAATTGGCGTTAAAGAGGATGGCGGCATTATTCGAGCAAGCATAGCGATCACACACGCAGAGTGGTCTGAAGAACTGAATAGTATTATTTATTCATCATCATGGTATTCTTCCAACACAGAAATTCAACCCAGTAAACCCAGTATAGGGAGGTCCAGATGCCAGAGAGAATAATAGAAAAAGAAAGGTAGCGAATTTCCCCCCGTCTACCGACTCCGTAAAAGAACGCCGTTTCCCAATGCCGTGTCAAAAACATGATTTTGCTCATTCCCAAACCGAAACCACGCCCCCCCTCTCCCCGTTGCAAACGCCCTTCAGGTCTTCGTCAAGAAGGCCTCCCTCTCCACCACCTCGCTCCTGAACTTGACCAGGAACACCGTCTTGCCGGGCCACATCTCCCCCTCGGCGACGGTGTGCGCCGTCACGCGGGCGGGGAAGTCGGCGCCGTCGCACACGCCCTCGACGATGCCCGCCACGAAGGCGGCGCAGTTGAGCTGGCTCATCTCGCGGGGCACGCTGACGAACTGGTTCACGAGGGGCTCGTTGTCGATGATCATGTACTCGTCGGGCGTGTCAGGGTTGGCCGACTTCTCGAGGCGGTCGGCCTGCCGGGCGAAGAGGTGCTGCCAGACGGTCTGCTTGATGAAGTGCAGGAGGGCGATGATGGTGGTCGGGCGCTGCTGCGAGCGGGCGGGCTCGCGGAACAGCAGGAGGTCGAGGAGCTTGAGGCCGATGGAGTGGCCCTGGACGTTCAGTCTGTTTGGAATGTTGTTAGCAAGTGTACAAAGGGGTGCGTTGGCTTGGGGGCGGCGGCGTACCGTTGTTCGAGCTCCTGGATACCCTTGACCCGTCGCTGAGCGTAGGTGATCATCTCTCCGAACAGGTAGGCGAAGCTGGCCTGGCTGATCTCGGCCGTCTTGGATCGGTTGAGGGGGCGGTGGTATATGGTCTTGCCGTTGCTCGGGAGCCGAACCCCGGGCTCCTTGCCTATCGTCGACGGGTTCGGTTGCAAGCTACCCATTTTGAGCTGTGGCGGGTTGGTTTGAGTATCTTTCAGAGAGGCCGATATGCGCTTGCGAGGATTAGGGGGTCTGTCGTCGTGGGGAGTTGGGACAGAGCTTCGCTGGAGGCTGGGGCGGGATGAAGGAAGCAGGTCGTGTGTCGGTGAGGGCCGGTGACGTGGGGTTGGAACTACATTTCTCACCGAGATTCACCGAGGGCCTCTGCCATCGTCACCGATACGCCAGTGAGTAAGTTCTCCTTTTCTTTTCATTACACACTTGAAAAATAATTCATAGACATTTTTGCAACTTTTGAATAGCATTCATTAATATTCGATGCCATTCTTTCTTCATAAGAGATAACGCGACAAAAAGAGCTCAACGTCTAACGAGCTGTCTGAACTTCCTCGCAAAGAGAGTTCAGACCTCAACTAACTGAATAGCAGCAATAAATCATTACAAAATCCGAATTCCAAATTTGTCTTTTCATAAACTTTTCGTATAATTCCATGGCCCTCCTGTACTCTACATCCTCGAGGCAAGCGCATGTACCTGTCCATCAACACTGATCCAATCTACTGGACAGTCGAAACCTTGGATTTGGCTTCCTTCTGCTTTATAGTCGCCTCAATCCACCCACGAGCATCGGCAATGGCCTTGCGCGGGCTGGCCTTCCTCTTCAGCAGGAAGCCTTGGATTTCTGCGGGAGAAAAGACTCCCTCAGGGATAATGCCGCCGAACTCCTTGGCAATCTCCTTCAACTCCTCGGGGGTCATTGGCTTCTCATCGCTGGTTTGACCAGGGAGAATCAGCTTTCCCTCCTGACTACTCTTCACCTCTTGCGTGACGAAAGAACCGGGAAGGATGCTGTTGTTGGCCGCCTGAAGCTTCTGGGGCTGCTTCCAACGGGCCTCGTACATCCTGTGGAAAAGCTCGCAGGCCTGCTGGCGCGAGGCGTGGCTGAAGGCGACTTGCATATCCACGCGGCCCGGCCGAACCAATGCCTCATCCAGAGACTCGGGCTTGTTGGTAGTCATGATGAGGACACGTCCTTCGTGGGAAGCAACGCCGTCAATGGCGTTGAGGAGGCCGGAGAGAGAAATACTTTCGGGGGGTGAGAGCTTATCGCCCCTCTTGCCTGAAGATCTCCTTTTGCTGTCCTTCTTTGAGCCGCTCTTCTTGGAAGATCGTTTCTTCTTGCGCTTCTCGCTGTCGCTGTCGCTTGAGTCGGAGCTGGAGTCCGATTCCGACTCGGACTCCTCGACCTTCTTGGCCTTCTTCTTGGACTTTTTCTTCTCGGTTGTTCCGTTGACCTTGGGGGTTTCTGAAGTGCCATTCGCAACCGGTTTGTCGGAGCTTGCTGTTTCCTTGACGCCATTCTCTGTTGGTTTTTCTTCTATTGCTTTCTTGTCTTTCTCCTCTGCCTCTTTCTCTTCCTCTTCATCGGGATCCCGACGAAGTCCAGCCGTATCGATATCCTCCAGAAGAACAATGCAGCGCCTTGGAAGTCTCGTAAAGAGAGTAGCCAAGTCCTCTTCAGTCACACTGATATCCTGAAGACTAATGACATAGATATCGATACCAAACACGCCGGCAAGCGCGAACGAGAAGCTCGTCTTTCCGGTACCAGGAGGTCCGTGGAACAAGTAGCCGCGGCGGAGGGGAATGCCACGCGAGGCGTACCATCTAGGTGTTCGGGGATGCAGGTACTCGTTGATGTCCGCCAGTACGTTGTGCTTCTCCTCGGAGTCCAGAACGACGGTACTCATGGGCCTGACAGGGCGGCGAGCAACCTGCTGCCACATGCTATAGTCGCGACGCTGCTCCTTCTGCCTCGGGCGGTAGATGGTGGTCTTCTGGTGGGTATCATGGTAGTATTGGATTTTGGCCTCTGCCAAGAGCAGCTTGATGGGGGCTTTGTGAATCGGTCAGTCTATGGCTGCTTTGAAATAGGGGCCGTTGTGAGAGTGGGCATACCAATTGACCGTCCAAAGGATGAGATCTTGATTTCTTCCTGATCCTTCATGGCGCTCCAGCCAGAGGTGTTGACAAACGACTCCTTTCTACGGTAGACCCTGAAGCGAGTTCCCTTGTGCCAGAAACCAGTGGTTCCAAGAGCTGGTACATATCGAGGAACCTATTTCGACTCGGTTAGTTTCTTGGCTTCACTTTGCTTGAAATTTTGAGTTTCCGGGCTTGTTTTATAGTAACTGCCTCGCTCTCAGGCAAATAATTAGGAATTTGAGGAGGAAACCTACCGATCTCGCAGCCTGGTTGGAAAAGTTGAGATACTTGCCCCCATCGCCCTGTCCACCATCAGTCCAGAACAGGTGAGACTCGCCCCCGTTCTCATCGTCATCCTCCTCATCCTCCTCCCACGCGCTCCTCCACACAGTCTGGGCCATGAGGTAGCGGTTGTTATTGAGACTGGGCTGCTTACTCAGCCACTCCATGAGGTGGTGATAGATACCATCGTTGTCGTTCACCGTTATACTGCACATCAGGTGCTTCTCGACGATGCCCTCGATGTAGTGGTAGACCTGGAAGATGGCGTACTGGGCAGCCCAGAGCGTCCCGGCGACGGTCAGGAGGATGGAAGGGTCGAGCCCGAAGGGCAGGCCGAGCAGACGGTAGACGAATAGGACGAGCTGCAGGATCGGCGACGCCTGGCTCGCGGACACGAGGAGGGTGTCCATGAAGCCGGCGGCGGTGCCATTGGTCCCAGTGGTCATGTTGGGCATCTTGTCGTGGTTCAAGATGCCCAACTTTGTGAGCGAACTCATCATGGATGCAGCCATGTTGATTTTGGACTCTCTACGGGCTTTGGGGAAAGAAGGGAGGAGGAGGTTGGGCACCAAACACGGGGGGTTGCTTATGTTGTATCCGGAGCAGGTATTTGCAGTCAGTTGGGCGAGTCGGAGGGCACTACTTGGTGGCACGACATATTTCTCGACCACGTTCCAGAAAGGGACACACCCTCATTATATAGTTTGTCCATGACGACGACCGGTGGGAAGTTGTGGAGGCCGTCAGGAGTCATACGCGCGCACAGAGGCAGCCTGTGTGTCAGACAGGGCCGAATTCTCCATCAAGGCATCGTGCGATTACGAGCCCAAGGAGAGAAAGAAGCCTCGCTCCGTGCGACCCTTTGTTGAGAAAGCACAGAAAGGGTAACATGATACGTCGCCCTCGCCTCCATCCTATGGGGATAGAGGCATCGCACGGTTTCCGTGGGCGCAGGGAGGCGTGGCCGTGCGAACCATTGGAAATCATGGCAGCAAACCGGCCCTACCGTCAGCCGGGAGGAGGGACCGCTACACGGCATCCAGTGCAAGGGCAAGAACCGGCCGCAAACCGTCAACTCCGAACGGTTAGCTGCGGGTATCCAGAAGTCGAAGCGGAGTGTTCACGATCTCGTGAATATGTATCCCCACAAGTTGCTGCCTAGCAATTAGGCAGCTGTATCCACAACTGAGCCATTGCGACGGTACTCGTATGGGGCCTGGATCTGGGATAGGTATGTTTAGGGAAGCAGATGCATGTAGACGTTGAGAGACTGTCACGTGTGTCCGTCCATAACCTCGACTTGGAGCTGTCGGGAGTTGCGGGTTGTCACGAACGGAAAGCTCTGTCTAATTGGCTCCCCAGTTGTGGATCAAACTGTTATATACGAGAGTCTGCTGCCAGCGGTTCTGCAATCGGTGCATCGTGGATGGTAAGACGACAACGAACTCTGGGATGGGAACCAATGATGGTAGTCTGCAAGCATCCAGATGTGAGTATCACAGCTTTGGCGAGTGACGAATGACGTACGTACAGTTGCCGCCATTGGTGCTCTGTCGTGTCGGCAAGCAACCGAATACAGCAGTATTACACACTGATTAACAATGCATCCTGCTGGTCAGCTGATGTTCCAACCCTAGAAAACTCCGGTCGCTTTGAGTTGCACAGCTTCCGAGGTTTCATCGTTGGGCTGTTCTGGAATCTGGAACTACTACCTTTCAATCTTGCCCTGCAGCGAACTACCAGAAACGATCCCTGTCCAAGTGCGAGTGCTGCCTGGGTAAAGGCGCAAGGCGTCTATCTTTCCAAGGGCGGTTTTATTTTTCCAGTACCTGCAGTGAACTGCCCATGTCGCTCTGCCAGGTTTGAAGTGGATAATTATAAAGTGCACAGATGTGCTCTCTTATGTTTCCCACTTTGGCTGATGTTGCCTGACAGAGTAACATATGCATGGATACACGATCAATCAGCCTTGATCATGGGTCACCTCCTGCATTAGGACCCCGCTGCTCTGCCCTACCTATGCAATGATCCGGATATGGTCTGTGGCTCTGTGCTACCACAACAACTCCGGTGGGTCTCGTGCGAGAGCAAAAACTTTCCTACATGTAGTTTACTTGCCATCGCCGTTCTATCGCCGTTCTGGAGTAGGGAAGCCGGGCCAACGGAGCAAACCTCCCGGGCCAAGAAGCAGGAGTCTGGCGGTGTGCCTGTAACAATTCAGTTCTCGCATTGGCTCCTAATCGGCCTTGTGTTGCCCTCGGGCCTTTGTTGCCAAACTTTCATAGCCAGACCGGAGATTCTGATAGCTGTTGTTCGCAAGCCAAGACCCATGCTTCCTAACTGGGCGTCCTGCATGAATCTCCAAACCGGGCGATGCTACCTGGCGGCCCAACTGGCCAGTCGGGAGATGGGATGGAACGACTGTTGGTAGTTGGGCGTTACGAGACTGGCGACAGGCGAACATCAAACAAGCGAGCTGGTTGCCAAATCTTGCCTCCCATTATCATTCCGCCCAGTATTTTAAGCAGCCGCCCCGCTTATTTACTCCTTCTAAACCGTATAAGAGTCTATTCACATATTTTGGGTCGGTCCAAGTTCCCTGTTTCCTCCAAAACATGTAGGGGAACGAGCACCGCCACACCAACAACAGTCGAGTCAGCCTTGGACACCCCGCTCAAGCAGTAGTTGTCGCCGCGACCGTGACGTCCTCCTTCTCCTCCAATTTAGCCTGGGCCAACTTCTCCTCCACTGCACTCAGGTCGCTCTGGGTCAACGCAGCCGCCTTGCCGGCCTCGTACTTGAAGCCAGTGATGCTCACGTCCACGCCCCCGTTGAGATAATCCTCTGACTCGCCAATCTGCTTGCCAGCGGCCGCCCAGCGCTTTGCCTTCTCCTCACGGCGTTGCCGGCACTTCTCGTTGAGGGCGGGCCAGTACGTCTCGTGGTCGTACTCGAATTCCAGGTCACCTCCCCAGTCGGCGCTCCAGAGCTGCTCTGGGGGCACATATTGCTTCATGTCCTCGTTGAACTTGAGCTTCTCACGGGTAACAGGGTCAATAAATGGGGTGATGAGCTTGAAGAAGCCCCAAACAAGCCAAGGTACTGCAGTGAGAAGAGAAAGAAATCAAGAGTTAGCAGGGAGCCATACCACCTAGTTTTATATGTAACTATTCAGACTCCGGGGAAGAACTAACCATTGATAATGAGAGCCTTGCCAAGTCGCTCAGGGTAGTGGTTCTGCAGGATGTGCAGCACCTCACGTGCCGTGCTGATGGGAACACTCGTGTCCTTTCTCTGCTTGCTGGGCTTGAAGTTGATGAGCAGGCTGAGGGTCTCAACACCAGGCGGCATCAGGTCGGTGACTCGCTCAACCATGTAGAAAAGATGGTGGATCTGCCTAGGGCTTGTCTCGGTGTTCTGGCGATTGGGGTTCAGATACTGGCACGGGCGTCCAAAGCGGTCGTAGCCGAAGATCATCTGCTTGCCCGTCTCCTGCTCCGGGGAGATGTACTCGGGAGTGAAGCCTTCCAGGCCGTATTCGCGACGCCAGGCGAGCGTGTCAAGCAGCCTCTTGGCCGAGTCGTCGACGTTCCACTTGGTCGCACGGAGATAGCGCAAAAGGCACTCGCGGGACAACCACTGGTGCTCGCCATCGGTGAGGTCACCATTCTTGGACTCAGTGGTGCACTTCACCTCTTTGAACTCCTTAGCTTTAGCCAGGAGAGCCTCATACTTGGTCTGCTGGTCTGAGGTCAACTCGGCCCTGGGTGCCGGCTTGCTCTCTGCGGTTGGGTGGTCAATGGGCGTCTTGAGGGCCGTGGCAGATGCCTTGGACGCTTCCTCGGAGCTGCTGGCCATGATGGTACTGGCGCTGATACCGGTGATGGGCGCTGGAGGTGGAAATCCTTCTGGGCAATGACTATTTGTCCGTCGGGGGAAACAAACAGTCTCAATCAATTGCTCCGCGATGGTCAATCCAAATCTCCGTCCCGTACACGTACTCAATCCCTATCTGAGCAAGTTGGAATAAAGTGTAATCTGACTTGCGGTCAGGGAGATTGCGCTGAGTAGAACTATCGATAAGTTATTATTACGGAGCCCTCCACTGACAGCGTTGGATTTTAGGGGTCAACTCGTAGGAAGGACCCCTGTAAGCCCCTGCAGGCCACGCAAATCTGGGACGATCGGAACCCCAAAGCTCCGAGGAAGGAGTGGCCAATGCTCTGAGCCAAACTCTTGATCAGTTCAAGGTTGCCTCAAGCAGTAGCTTCATTATCCTGCAGTAGCCTCAGATGAATTCCATACTTCTTGACCCTCTCAAGATCCCCACTAACCACTGTCGGACTTCGGCTCACGTATTGATCAACAGTCTCGTACTTTCTCGGTCGCAAGTTACTTTTCTGTTTGAAAACAAACAAACTATACGGTCTCGCCCAACCTACAGCCAAGCCAGCTTACCTACCCTAGATAGCCGCACTCTCGAGGAAGGCGCCATATGTGGGAATCACACATTTAAATAGCCTCATTTATCAACACCTGGATATATCAAGAATGTAATATTCCGAACCGGAAATTGTGCGCAGATAAGCAACTTTAATCAATCATCTTATCTCATTGATCACAAATACACTACCCTTAGTATATTCTCATCGCCCTCGAGCGAAAATCTCTTTGATCAATCTTACTACACCTCTAATTTAGGAAATGTAGCGGTGAATCGTTTGTTTCTCGTTCACTTGCATTCCGCTAAGCTTGGAAGGAAGGGAGATGGTTGCACAGCTTCAGCGGTCATTCTCGGCGAGTGACTCATCGTTAAGACCGCACGTATTACATACATGTCGCAATCGTCCACTGCGTCCCATACTACTACCTTAGGTAAGACTTGCAAAGAGACAGTCGCGTGGAAGGAACAACGCAGCGTCTGTCTATATAGTAGCCTTAACTGTCGCACCATCATAACTAATACCCAACTTTATCGTATTTTGCTCTCTGATTATAAACCATAAGAACCTAGGTATAACTCGTCCTAAACTCTTACATTGTCAAAATGGCCCCTTCTGTTGAGGAACTCTTGGGAGACTACAAATTCGACCTTTCTCGGCTCGAGCGAATCTCATTCCGCAAAGCCAACCCTCCCCTTGAGATCGTGCCACCCAATCCCGCATGGCCTCAACACTTCGAGACCTTCAAGGCCCGGATCGTCTCAGCCCTGGGCAACAAGGCCATCGAGGTTCATCACGCCGGGTCAACCAGCATCCCCGGTCTCCCTGCCAAGAACATCATTGATATCGACCTGGTCGTGCCGGATAACACCGACGAGCCGGCGTTCGTCCCCGCGCTCGAGGCTGCTGGCTTCCAGTTCCTCACGCGCGAGCCGCACTGGCACGGGCACCGCTTCTTCTGTGCCTATGAGCCGCTGGTGGCGAACCTGCACGTCTGGTCGCCAGACTGTCCCGAGGTTGAGCGGCACCGCATCTTCCGTGAGTGGTTGCTAGAGCACCCAGAAGACAGAGAGCTGTATGTGAAGGTCAAGGAGGAGAGCTCACGGGCGACAAGGGAGACGGGTGGGTTAACCATGGATTATAACTCTCTCAAGGAGAAGACCATCCGTGAGATCTTGCAGCGGGCTTTCAAGGCCTTGGGGTATCTCGATGGGGAAGAGAGATCGGCTGAGTAACTTGGCAACATTTTGACGATGTGGTAGCCTTTAATGGCTAATGACTCGTATTGACATCTCGCCGATATACAGACCGTGTGATCTTTGATCGGAGAAGAGTCACGTAAATTTTGACTGGATTTGTTAGTATTTACAACAGGTGAGGAATCGGGGGTGTTTTAGATCTGGATTGAACAAACACCTCCGATTGTCAACCTAGAAACTTGGATACCTAGTGTAGGTACCTAGTAGGTAGGAAACAATTGGGAATTTTGAAAATAGCATTCTAAAAGGAAAAAAATAAATTGCTTGATAAGAGCAAGTCAGTCGATGATACGCTACCATCGGGCAATTTGGGTTGAGTACAGGGTAGGTGTGATATGGCAAGTCTGATTGGGTGTTGAATTCAAGGTGGATCGGAAATCTTCAACTTCGCCGAGAGCTTCGATTTGACCTCTGATTCCAATCCCGCAGCATCAAGACAGCGTCAATTACCCCACCACATTAATGATGAACACAATCGCACGCTCGGCAATTCGCCTTGTGCGGCCTGCCTTCTCAAAGCCCTCTGTCAGGTGTGAGCGCCCGCCCTACCAAGCCTCAGGACCCTTCTGACCAAGTGCAAACTCAGGACATTCACCTCCTTCACGCCTCTCCGCCCAACTCTCCAGCCCCAACCCGCATTCCGCCCGAATGTCACCTCCTTCACTCCTTCAGTGACGGGATCGGCCGCTGCTGATGTCGTCCCCAACTCCGCCATCACATCGAACCCAGCCCTCGGCTCGGTCCGCTTCGGGCCCCGAAATACAATGAACGGACACACTCGCCTGGTCCAGAAACGCAGACACGGATTCCTCGCACGCAAGAGAAGCAGGACGGGGAGGAAGATTCTGCAGCGTAGGAGAAATAAGGGTCGCAGACAGCTCGCTCAGTAGAGAGGACACCGAGTCCGGGGACACGAACATGCGGTTTTCCTTTGTGAGACAGCGTTGACGAGGAATTACTATCGATATGAACAAAGAGAATGCGGAAGGAGGGATGTACGATACAGAATGGAGTGAATAAAACGGGAGGGGGTCGACATCTCCCAGTGGTTTGACACTCTATGTTGCAATATTAGAGGTGTACATTAACTACCAAGACCTTTAGCATACAATGGCTGGACATGCAATCTGAATTGGCCACATGAGTTTTCTCAACGCTTTTTCTATCGTAATTTTGCGATTTTGATTCAAGAGGGGGGTCTGTTATCTTGGTTGGTAGTAGAACAGCCAGCGGACAGCGTATTGCTGGGCCTTTGCTATCAGCCACTTCAGAGAGACGTGTCGGAGATTTGCCTGCAACGGTCCAGATCTTCATCTGCTTATAGTCAATTGCTAACCACTAGTCACAGCCCTATCAGACCTTCATGCTAGGGCAAGTGGGTGACATTGAAATTGAGACGTTCAAACATTAAGCTGCTTATTTTTTACCGATATTATGTGATTATTGAGTGCCAATAATACATACTCAGAAATAACAGAGTCTATATTGTTACTTTATTTCAGTTTGAACCTCTGAACCTTTCTATTTACCATAGAAAGTAGTTTGTTCATAACCACTCTTGCATTGAGTGTCTCTCTCCTGTCACCCACTTGCAGGGAAAACAGGATACACATCAGGATCGCTCTTGGTGACTGAACGCAGGCAGTAAGCAGCCTCAGCAATGGAGGGTCGCATCCCTCGACGCGGCACAGCAGCGGCATTTTGCCCCAGGAGGCACTGCAGTGCCGATGAGGCGGCGGCGATTGCCCCTTTCTTCAGGGGTCAATGGTACCCAAGACACGAGGAGAAGGTGCAACAGCTCTGGCCGGTTCCTTGCGTTTGGGTTACAGTAGCAATGTGTTCGTCGATTCGGTAGCCGGCACACCCACACACCATCCCACAGAGGATTGTTTCGAGAACCATTCTAAGAACGGTCTAGGACACGACTTACGTTGCGGCTCAGCGGGTCTGGTGGTGTGCGAGGGAGACCCTCTGAGACTAGAGCGAGTATTCTCGCATCAAAGGCAACGTTGGTAGAGAGGGAAGTGAGTGTCAAACCCCGAAGATGAAGTAATGTATTCACCCACCTTGCTGCATGCAGACCTACTGGTTGGAGCTTAATCTATCATCCCGAGCCCCGATTTTATATCATGCAGCATGATGGACTCCCCTAGCGGCGTATAGAACTGCATCTTCTGCATGGATTTCGAGATGGCGACAAGAAGGATTCGCAGCAAGGGGGCCCTTCTCTTCTGCAGCTCTTGGCGTCTTGTTTCTGACAATATCAAGGCCCAATGGGTGGTGGACACTAAACGAAATCAAGGCCAGACATGCACGTAGGCAATACCGGTCTGGTCGACGTCGAGATCTTCCAAAACGAGCAAAGTTAGCCAAAACTAATTCATGATTTGAGTATAACATGTGAACTAGAAGCAATTGAGATCAGGTGTCAACGGAGACAGTATCAAGACAATATCATGGGATGGAAATGGAAGGCGAGCGACAAATGGGTCACTGTATTTGGGTTAGGTGTTTGAAGATTGTGCAGGGTTACTGGCTTCGGAAAATAGGGACAGCAAGGGAGGGCATAGGTGCAAGGATACGAGTCGAGTCGTTGGGCAATGTTGGTCTGTGGTTTTCGAGACCAACTGAGCCCAGGGATGAAGAGGATAACTGGCTTTCCCAATAGAAGAACTATATTTGGACCTGGTAACTGGGTGCCGCGAGCTATTACCGTATACAGACAGGGCACGGCACTGGCCAATTCCTCAAACGAGGTTGTCGTGGGCTGATTCTTTCAGTGTCACTGGGGCAGTTCCCTAACCAGGAGGAAGCAGACAGGAAAACGTGGACTCTCGGATGGGCGCCGCTCTTAGTAAGATGGCAGATTAGTTCTGGTGAGCGAGGGCACGGACATCCCAACGTGATAATCGCCAGGGTTTGAGAGCCTTGTCCTGGCCCGTTTGTGATGCCACTTCTCCCCAACAATTGCACATCGGCAGTGGGAAAAACGGGCCAGCCCAACATAAAGAGATAAAAAACATCGACCGCCTCTCGACCCAACCATAGCATGACCTGTTAAGAACCGGGAGTTGTGGTGGGAGAGCGATGGCAGACGAAAGTTACACAGCAATTATTCGCACCAATTGCATGTAGTAATACTATGACAATTAAGAAAAGGACATTCGTGTTAGCGTGCTGCAGGCGGCTGGGAAGAGCGTAGCATCCAGCCACCTGCGGTGTTGGCACTTGTCTGGGGAAAGCAGAGTCGCAATCGAGATGATCGCCTGGCTGTTCGCTTTAGGTAGGTCGCCGGTCCATTTCCATCTGGTATTGGCGCCGTGGCTGCCGTCAGTCACATCACGAGGCCGTCCGCATTGTGGATGGAACATCACCAATGCTCCTTTCAGCATGGTACATAGTAGTTCTGCGCGGGGCTTGAAGGATCTGGTTATTCGTCAGCGGCGGTGCTTCGACCATGTCACTGCCGGCGCGATCCCTTGCTCTCTTCTCCTCTGTCACCTTGCGCGCGTGCCCACCACCGCAATTGGATCTGGCTCTGTGCCTGCCCATCTCGCTCTAACGCACAACACCAAGATCGGCGGCGCGCTGGTGGTTCGGGCTGCGGCTGTAGGCGCTCTAGCCTTGTTGGCTGGGTGCCTTTTGTTGGCTGGCAGACGATCATCGGCCTTCTTGGCAGGCGCTTCGGAAGCCATCGTCACACCCTCCTCCCAGACACTCTGCTGAATGGATGGCGCGAGAGATCAATCTGGCAATTGGCCCTGGCTCAAGCGCCTGTAGCAAATAAGTTGCCCAACCCAGCTTATCCACTAATGCAAGGGTCCCCCGTTCCTTGGCTCTGCCCCCTCGTTCTTCTCCGCAACAACGCCTCTGCAGGCTGACGACGTGGAACGAACTCATCAACACCCCTGTGCTCTTGTCTCACCGACCGCCGCTCTCTATTCCTCTCTGGAACTGGTCGACGGCCCAGCTAGGTCCGCGGCATTTGCCCTGGGATGGGCTTTTCCCACAATCCCGTACGCTGTCTCCCATGCCCAGCTCTGCCAAATCTGGCCCCCGGCCTGCCGCGACTTGGAACTCTTGTTTAAACCCATACCAAGGCCGTGTTGGGATCATGTCTTTCCAGCTCGGCAATGTCGTTGGGGGAGACGGGCCAGAAAGCGGCGGGAGGAATAGCTGAGTGTCCCAGCTGACATGCCTGCCTCTCCCTCGTCGGATATGGGCTGTCTTTCTGGAATATCGGCTGGTGGAGCAGACCCTTTGCATGCGAACTTCAGGTGATGCATATAATTAGCCTGTTTCTAGCCCCAAATTACCTTGTCGGAAGGTGTTAATTAGAAGCGGGCAATGTCTTGGTGCATGGGAGCTACCCTTCCCGCCATGACGATCCGTCAAGTAGCTCTCGCAAGTATAATTACTCTTGCCGCCCGCCTCCTCCTTCACCAGAGGATCAAGCCAGCCTGATCAGTTCTTGGCAGCTCTGCTCCTTTGGTCCTTCCCCTTCATCTGGTGGTCACACGCAGCAAAAAAGGTTCAGCTCAGACCTTGAAGGCACTCTTCTTGTTTACTCTTCGTGTCAACACCAAGATACACACTCCACGATGCTGGGACTCTCTCTCCTCTCCCTCGTGGCATTGGCTGCTGCCAGTCCTATCCCGGGATCTGATCCCCTGAGCCTTTACAGACGAGGTATGGCTATCCCCTAAACGTTGTCCCATGTCGTGGTGTTGAAGTTAACTAATCATTCCCACTTACAGCCGCTGTAACTCAGTCTACACTGGATACGTTTGACTACTATGTCGAACATGCCTCAGCCGCCTACTGCAACGCTGGGAAGGCTGCCGGCACAGCTGTCACTTGCTCCGGCACTTGCAACAATGTACAGAAGAACAATGTAAAAATTCTGTCAACATACGAGTAAGCCCCCCCCTCCCGGACCGACAAGACCTGCTCTGTTACAGATCTAACTTTGTTGATTAGCGGCAAGGCCACTGGCATCTCTGGCTACACTGCGATCGATGATGTCCGAAAGGAGATTGTCTTCTCTGTCCGCGGCAGCGCCAACATCCGCAACTGGATTGCCAACCTGGACTTCGACTTCAAGAGCCTGGACCTTGCGAAGAACGCCAAGGTCCACGACGGCTTCAACAAGGCCTGGCTGGAGATCTCCGCCGCCGTGCTGGCCCAGGTCAAGGAGACGGCCTCCAAGAACGCCGGCTACAAGGTCGTCGCCGTGGGCCACTCCCTCGGCGGTGCCGTCGCCACGCTCGGCGCCGCCTACCTGCGCAGCGCCGGCCACAGCGTCGACATCTACACCTACGGCGCCCCCCGTATTGGCAACGCCGAGCTCAGCGACTTCATCTCGGGCCAGCCCGGCGCCGTCTACCGCGTCACCCAGACCAACGACCCCGTGCCCCGCCTGCCCCCCAAGCTGTTCGGGTACCGCCACGTCTCCCCCGAGTACTGGCTCTCCAAGTCGAGCAGCACCGGCCAGTACGACGTGGGCACCGTCAAGGTCTGCGCCGGCAACGCCAACACCGGCTGCAACGGCAGCCAGAACATCATCGACATCAGCAGCATCGCCACCCACCTCAGCTACTTCAACAAGATCCTCTCCGGTTGCATCAGCTTCGGCCTCCGGGACGTTGACGACGTGGACGTGGTCAGCGTCGAGGTCGAGGGAGACTTGGCGAACGACGACGACGCCCTCGTCGCCCAGCTCAATGCCTGGGCCGAGGCGGATAGGAACATCACCGCCTCCGCGTAGAGAGGTTTGAGCGATGCACTTTTGAAATGTTTTATGATATAATGTTCGGTTCACCTGTATATAGATGGTCACCATCATGAAGCGGGGCATATTTTGGGTTACTACCTAATGAAACAGCCATGTATATAGAACAAAATAACAAAACAAGTACAAAGAAAGCGGTGCCCTGATGCAATTGCCCTGCGAACCTGCATGGAACAAGCACCTGCCTACACCTCGGCGAGGCAACCTATATTAAGAATATCGTATCGTCGTAACAGGAAAAGACATGATCAAAAAGTACCATTTGCGTACAAGGTGGCTGACTCTTTCAGTATAGATCCCCGCTCCTTCTGTGGGGGAGCTAGTCGAATCCTTCTGTGACCATGCCTTGAGCATTGGGCACGCCGACCAGGATGACCCCGCGAGGGACTCTGACATCCTTGACCTTCATACACCCAAAGACATTGACTTCTTTGATGTTGGGACAGGACCGGAAGATGGAGCCGACAATGAAGTCCGTGACCTCTTCGCAGAAGCTGATCTCCAAATGCCTCAGCTCGGGGTACAGGGCATCCTTGCTGAATACCTCCTCGAACGCCTCGCGGGTGATGTTGCGGCAGGCGTGGACGTTCAGGTCTCGGATTTTTGCGCCCGAGTGCGCCATCAGGGCCTTGAACCCCTCGTCACAAAGCCCGACGTTGTGGGCATTAATGCGGGGTTGCTGCGCACTCACGTACCGGCATTTCTGGAGATCGAGTATCCGCAGCGGTGGGTTTTCCCAGTTCGTGAAGAGCTTCGCGAACCCCTCGTCGGTCATCACCTCGCTCTCGGTGATGCGCAGCTTAACAAGGGACCGACAGTTGTCATGTAGACTCTGCAAGACGCTGTCATCGGCTTTGGGGACGATAGTCAGCGAAAATGTTTCAAGTTTCTCTCCGATGCTGGACAACACTGGTGTAATGGCCTCGGGCGAGATGCTATGCTGCAGGTGCAGGCCGAGATGAAGCAGGGAGGGGATATTGGCAATTCCCTTGACACCATCATCTGTGAGCTTTTGATTGTGCTCGATCTTTAGCCGTTCCATGTTTGGGCAATGTTTGGCGATGACGTCCACGGTATCATCCCCGAAGTGCTTGTCGGTATAGTAGACCTGTAACGTTTTGAGGCTCTCGCCCTTAGCCTCCAGGAACTCGTGCCATTTTTCTGAGCTCAGAAGATTGGCGCCGCTCAGATAGAAGCTCTCCAACTTGATGTCTCGCGAGAGGACATAGTCCATGACCTCGTCCTTGAACTGAACCATGTACCGAGCTTTGAATCGTCGCAGCTTTGTTGCAACCTGGAAAATGCCAAGTAGATCCTGCTCGCTGATCTTGGCACCATCATAGATGTGCAGCACCTCAGTGTTGGGTTGCACGAACAAAGGCAGTGTCTCTGTTCTAAGCAACCTTCTCTTTGAAAAGATGCGTGCAATCTTGTCGATGAGATGTGGAGGAAGGTCACCCAGACTATCTGCCAGATCCACATTCTTGGCAAGTGTCTGCACGCAGAGGGTTGCCAAACTCTTTGTACCGATGTCACCATCGAGGATCCGGCTCTGGTGAGCCCGGCGAGAGCCGATACCGCCTGTCTGCTTCCTGGGCGCCTTTTTCTTTGGCTGCATTCCCTGGCGCTCTTTCGCAACTTGACGGCCGCAAGGGGCGCAGAGAAGGCCACCATTGGGTCCCGCAACTGAGTATGGAGTCACGGTAAATCTCTTGGTGCAAATCTCGCAGTTATCCATCTGCCCCGGAAGTGGTGCATGCCGTTCATTGAAGATGGCGCGGGCAATATCATCATCGTCATCTGAGTCAACTCCGGCATCTCGCTTGCGCTTCTTGAACGCCTTGCTTTCCTTGATTTTCGCAATCGTCTTGGCCTGCTCCTTCTTTTTCTTCTCGGGAACTCCATTCTCAACCGTCGCGGCACGAGAGCGCTGGCGAGAGGCCCTTGATGATTCAGCTTCAACTGGGGTGGAGTCGCCAGGAGCAGCTGAGGTGCTGTCTTCCGACTGCGCGGTTGCAGCCTGACGTCTCTGATCTGCATCATCTCGAATCTGTCTGGCTGAGATGTTATGCGACTAGAATATTGTTAGGCTCCTCAACAAGAGATAAAACAGATCTGGAGATGGCCATTTTCGCTTACAGCTAAGAAATCTGTGAGGGCCGATTGTCTGCAAGCATATTCAGTCAGTACGCATATAATATAGGTTCCGACAGAGATTGGCAACTTACGGGCCTGTGATATTTCGAGCAGGCGGCTGGTTCGCATCCTGATTTTGGCCATTGGCAGCACCATTGGCCCCATTTCGACGAGCCCGAACCCTTTGAAGTAGTCAGCCATCTGCGACCATCCGACATGCATCCAACAGATCACATACATCTTGTGGCCAGAGGTAGTATCGCTGGACTAGGCTCTGGATTGTTGACTTGAGAAGAATCTCAAGACAGACTGAACCATTTGATAAGAATGGGAGTGATGTAGGGTGGGTGGTGGCGCGTGTCAATTTGGGAGGGAGAATTTCGTCGCGGACTTAACGCGGCGTCATGTGACTTTACAGCAGAAATATAGTGGCAAACTGAGCTGGTGAACTCTAAGACATGCCCCTTATTGAACCCCCCAGCTGGCTTCACGTGCTCTCGCGTAAAGGGGGACGCGGGCCAAAGTGCTAGCCTTATACTGACTCGCATTTGCCGTACTGTGGAGTGGTGCACACGGTACATGTTCACGGTCTAGAGTCTTGGACTGCTTGTCACTACTTCACCGATTGTCATGAAGCATTGTTTGTACGTGAATTGGACTATGATCCCGTGCAGAGTTCTCCAACATAAATTGTCAAGCGGGCTGTCCCACGAGTATGTCGGAGCTTTGATGTGAGAGGGCGATTGATACAAGGACTGCACTGGTGGGCTTGTCACTGGGACTAAGTACTGGAGATCCAGAGCACAGTGTGCCAAAAGTGACATTGGGTGGCGCCCTGCGCTTTCCCAACCAACTTTCTTTTGCCAGTGCCTCCTTCCTCAAGGTGGGAAACTCGGAAGATTGGTCTTTGTAACCTGCTCAGTTTTTTTCCGTCCTGGAAACTTTTCCCTCTACAATGCCCCTTGTTTAAGGGAGCCAGCACGTGGAAGAAGCATCTCCCGGCTCGAGGCTCTCATTTTGCCACTCCTATCCCTACCTTCGCTGCCTACCGAGCAGGGAATCGTGCCTCTTCAATATTTCCCAAATCGTCGTTGATTTCATCGAAAATCCGCAGTCTGCATTTCGTTGAAGCCTTGGCCAGTGCCGATACTTCTTGTACTTTTTTTCTAGAACCTCCACGGCCTGGACTCTCACCTCCCGCCCATCCTCAACTCATACTCGGCCTCCACCTGCACTTTATGACCTGCACTTTGCAGCCTTATCGCCGCGACTTTTCATCATGCGTCGGTCTTCATTACGTTCCAACGGAACCCCATCTTCTAGTAGACATGGTATGAGATGAGTCTTTTATTTTTTTCGCATTTTCGGACGTTTCTTATTAATGCGCTTGATAGATTCAATAGAGCCAGCCGTCTCAAGCGGCAGCCGTCTTACTCGCTCTGCCTCGTCTAGAAATTTGTCAGCCACCCCTCAGCCGAACGACCCAGATGTCGTTGGCTCTGATACAGGTGATTCTGTCACGTCTAAGAAGCCAAGGGGACGACCTAGGAAGTCGTTACTTATCGAAAGTATGACCAACTCTACCTCATCGTCTTTCGTGGACGACGTTCCAGCACCTGCTCGGCGGCCGGGCAGACCTAGAAAGTCTACCACTGCTACGAGTGTGTCTCTTTCTTCAGCCCCCACCCCTATGAATGCATCTTCAGAGGATGACCTTTCTACTCCCCCAACAAGCAACCTTCCAACCCCTCTCGCCACAGATTTGTATGCCCCAGTATTGAAATTAGGTTCATCATCATCAATGGTTGTTGAAATTCCGACTCGTAATGGGAGACCAGACGGGGCAAATCGGGAACGAGCCCTTCGGTCAAGCAAATTCTCCATGGTCTCCAACGCTCGAAATAAGAAGTCTGAAATTGGAGACAGCGATGAAGATGAGGAAGAATTTTCAGACAATTCCCCTAATGCTCAGGTTGCTCGCCGACTACAGAGGGAAGAGAATGCTAAACTTTCCCCCCCGAACCCTCGGTCTACCCGTCGATCATCAAAATTTACGCCAGTCCCTGGCCAATCAAATCAAGCTGGCCCCAAGCGTGGAAGGGCTTCTACAGATGCGGCAACTAGGGCGAGCCGGTCTTCCAAAAGAGCTAAACTCGTCATATCCGATTCTGAGGACCAGCTTGATGTGGATGAAGAGCTTGCGCGTGGTCTAGACTATGAGATGAACGATGCTGGCGCATTATCAACTGTCGAGAATGATGGCGACACTGAAGAACACACTGAAGATGAGGAGGATGAGGAGGAGTATGATGCCAATGAAGTTGATGATGTCGCCGCTTTGTCTCGAGCGCAGCCCAAATCCTCGATAAGGACAACAGCGAAAAGTAACAACCGAAGGTCCCGGGGACCAGGAACTGTCCCCACCGAGAGAACCCCCCAAAGCAATGATGTTGATATTCTAACTGAGGGTTCTGAAGCGGACGAGCCGACTCCTTCTGAGCCAAGCATGTCTCTTAGTTCGAACCTTAGTAGTGAGGAGGACGAAGAGGAGGTACCGCTTGCGAGGATCACAGAGCAGCGCCGAGCCTACAGACGACCAGAGAACCGAGGGCGGGTCAAGAAAGAACGCAGTCGTCTCGAGAAACACCATCCGGAGCTGTTAACAATGTGGAAAGATCTTGAGGATATGCCAGTTCTCAAAGTTGGAAAAGCGCCACAACCCTCAACAATATCCCGGCAGCTGAAGCCATTTCAACTTGAGGGGCTTGCTTGGATGAAAGCAATGGAACAGCACAAATGGAAAGGCGGTCTCCTTGGTGATGAGATGGGACTTGGCAAAACAATCCAGGCGGTTTCGCTTATCATGTCGGATTACCCTGCTAAGCAGCCATCTTTGGTGCTTGTCCCGCCTGTTGCTCTTATGCAATGGCAATCGGAAATAAAATCGTACACTGACGGAACACTCAAGACCTTTGTTTTCCACGGTACTAACCAGAAGTCAAAGGGAATGACTGTCAAAGAAGTGAAGAAGTACGATGTCATCATGATGTCTTACAACAGTCTGGAATCCATGTATCGGAAGCAAGAGAAGGGGTTTAAACGCAAGGACGGTATGTACTTCGAGAAGAGTATCATCCACGCAGTCCAGTTTCATCGAGTCCTTCTTGATGAGGCACACAGTATCAAGACAAGGAGCACCATGACTGCCAAGGCATGCTTTGCTCTCAAGGCAGATTATCGATGGTGCTTGACAGGAACCCCTCTCCAGAATCGCATTGGCGAGTTTTTCTCTCTCGTGCGTTTCCTCAACATCAGCCCCTTTGCATCCTATCTGTGTAAGCAATGCCCATGCTCGACTCTGGAATGGAATATGGATGAAGAAAAGCGTTGCTCCCAGTGCAATCACGCGGCTATGCAACACGTATCCGTTTTCAACCAGGAATTGCTGAATCCCATTCAAAAGTTTGGAAACCTAGGACCCGGTCGCATCGCCCTCGGAAAGCTACGACTAATGACTGATCGAATTATGTTGCGTCGGCTCAAGAAGGACCACACTAACTCTATGGAGTTGCCTGTCAAGGAGATTTATGTTGATCGCCAATTCTTTGGCGAGGAAGAGAATGATTTTGCCAATAGTATCATGACAAGTGGTCAGCGCAAGTTTGATACATATGTGGCGCAAGGTGTTCTCCTGAACAACTATGCCAACATTTTTGGATTGATCATGCAGATGCGCCAGGTTGCCGATCACCCGGATTTGATCTTGAAGAAGAACGGCGAGGGGGGCCAGAACGTACTTGTTTGCTGCATTTGCGATGAGCCATCCGAGGATACCATCCGCAGCCAGTGCAAACATGACTTTTGCCGAGCTTGCGTGACAAGCTACGTCCATTCTACCGACGTGCCTGACTGTCCCCGCTGTCATATTCCCCTGACCATTGACCTTGAGCAACCTGAGATCGAACAGGACGAAGCTCTTGTGAAGAAGAATTCCATTATCAATCGTATCAAGATGGAAAACTGGACCTCGTCTTCCAAGATCGAGCTGCTTGTCCATGAATTACACAAGCTACGTTCTGACAATGCGACCCACAAGTCCATCATTTTCTCGCAATTTACTACCATGTTACAGCTTATTGAATGGCGCCTTCGCCGAGCTGGTATTACAACAGTTATGCTGGACGGCAGCATGACGCCTGCCCAGCGTCAGGCCTCGATTGAACATTTTATGAACAATGTGGATGTTGAATGCTTCTTGGTTTCTCTCAAGGCCGGGGGTGTCGCTCTGAATCTGACGGAAGCTTCCCGTGTCTTCATCGTTGACCCGTAAGTACTTTATCTTCGCCCATGAACCTGACATATTCTTAGTTCTAATCATTCTCTAGGTGGTGGAATCCTGCGGCAGAATGGCAATCAGCCGACCGATGCCATCGAATTGGCCAAGCTCGGCCTTGTACCATCACAAGACTCTGCATAGAAGATTCAGTAGAAAGCCGAATGGTGTTGATTCAAGAGAAGAAGACAAGCATGATTCACTCAACCGTCAATTCGGATGATAAAGCTTTGGAGTCTCTTTCACCACAGGATATGCAGTTCCTGTTCAGGGGGTCTTAAATGTCCCTTCCAAGGGTGTCGAGACCTTTATGTACTTCTTGTCCATTGTGCCATCATGAAGGGCACATAGCTGTTTTACCCCAGCTTTAGTTGGGCCAGTGATTATCTGTTGTTATAATCGTTTTAACTACGATTTCAATGTTTGGAGTGGGAAGGTACATGACAGGTTTAGAGAGCAGCTCAAGGTTTCGAAGCCTCAGGGATTGCTATGGAGGCGTTGGGGGGCACGAGGGGTTTATTAAGCGGCCCCGGTCTTTCGTTTGCAAAAGTTTCTAGAGACGATCAAAGAGAAAATCCCACTTGTTGTAATGTCAATGCGTGCTATTGTATCTGCTCATATGGCGACTCTGGAACAAAGCCTGCGTATCTGTTGTGTGGGCAGGTCGCACCTTCCCACTTTAGAGTTTTTGCTGGCCAAGAGGCCTTCTTGACCACGGGCCCATCACACAGACAACTTAGCTTCCTCGTCACCTTGCAATTCATCCAATTTTGATCAATTCCATCACTTTCATCACGTACTGTGGTCATAATCCTTTGTGGGTATCTACTCTCTACTTCTTTTTCTTACAAGCACTCTCGTAGTCCGTGTCGAGCACAGCTACACTCAGCTCCGGCAGCTGGAACTCGAAGGCCCCGCCATCTCCCGCGCTCAAGAACACAGTGTCCTTTGAAACAATGTTGACTCCAGTGTGAGGGTCATTGTAGGCAAAAGGGTCACCACCTGGATTGGTCAATACCGTAAGCGCCGCCTTCCTTCCCGCCTCGACGCCCTCGAACGAAATAGAAACAGACACGTTCTCGTGGTTAGTCGTGTTGTACACGGCACCCTTCCAGATATACGAGCTCTTGTCCTCATTGGTCCCCGAGACATAGTAAAGGGGATCGAACTCGCCCTCGGCCGGAAGCGTGTGCGTCATCGGGTGGGCGGCGAACAGCTCCCAGACGTACCACGAGGTCGAGCGGGTGGTCAGCCTGGGGTCGGCGGCGAACTGGACGATGGTGACGGCCCACTGCCAGCGGTTCATGTTGCGGAGGACGGGGGCGTAGAAGGTCGCGGGGATGCGGTCCGCGTTGCGCTCGTAGCCGATGAGGGAGACGGCCTCGCCGACGGTGCCGATCCACCAGGGGAAGGGCATGAGGTCGCCGCTCCATCCGGTCCCGCCGTTGGGGTGGGTGGCCGCGACCTCGCCGACGATGTGGCCGACGTCGTTGTCGAAGAGGTCGAACTCGTCCACTAGGGCATTGGGGGTGCGGTATGGATGATAGATGGGAAGTGACCAGCACAACTGAGTACGATAATATTAACATTATAAAGGTCATAATTTCCACCTAAGTAAGTCTACATATCTATGACCTGACCAAAATCTTCTTCGTCACTACCATCATCATCTTGATATATATCTTCTTCTTGAGCAATAAATAGATCTTCCCCTTGAGCTGTAGATTGATCTTCCTCTTCCTCTGTATCTATATGTAGCTCCAATTCTGGCTGGAAAGGGCTCATAGCTAAGTCAGGGTTAGCAAGTTCAATCGGAATTTTAATTCCGACCACTAGTTCTTTCAATAGTGGATAGGATGATTCATGATAGTCGAATTTTAGGTAATTGCTTGTCTGAGTCTCAAGGATGATGTTGTTTTGGCTGTTGTCTCGATCTGCTAATGTTTGGAAGTTTAGTGGCCAGCCAGTACGCATCGCCTGACCATGCCTACGATGACCAATTGAAAAACATAGAGGATTCCCTGTTTGTATGTCAAGTGGAAGGTCTAACAACTCCTTATATTGGGACTTGAGAGTTTGTTTGGTTGGATTATCGTCCGTCGTGACCACCATGTTCTGTATGCAGGCTTGGAAGACACATTCTATGAAGAGTGTGAGTATATCGTCAACTGTGTCGAAGTGCATATTGCAGAATTTTCTCAGGCGCTTGAGACGCTCGCCCATAATCTGACCACACATTGACCAGTCCCAATCGATAGGCATTGTATTGATATGAGCAAAAAAAGGACAGCCTTGGCGTTTTGGCAGAATAACTCCAGTAAATTGCTCAATTTCCTCGATAACGCGAAGGAGGCGGGGTTTTTCTTTGGACCAACGGGTTGAAAGAATTTCTCGTTCAACTATTGCACGGGGGAGAGGTTCGGTCAGAGTACTTCCTGGGCGAGGCTTCCCAGAAATCCACTCCTCTTTGAGATATAAGTATTGGACAGGGGATATATTGAGGTTTACCCGCTTTGTTCGGAACCGTGGGACCTTTCGTCGGATGTATGCGATACTCCGGCAATCGTTGACCATCTCACTTTTGAGGGCTAAAAGATTTTCATCTATTTTGGTCACCCTGCTGTTTTCTTTGGTCACTCCCTTGACATACTCTGACAGCTTCGCTAGGAATATAGGTAGATGTATGCTTTTGGCCATGTTTATACATATTGGTGTTATAGCCATATTCTTATCACAGTGTACTATGATAGTCCCGTTTTCCGTTAAGCCGAACGGGAATATTGCATCGAGGGATGGGTATATAGGGTTATAGCACTGCGGGGCTGCTGTTAATTTTCGACCGGAATACATATCGATATATGATATTCCAGGTTGCTCTTGGTCGGGAAACTTTGACCGAAGCCATGCTTCCATTCTAGTCATAATGTTGTTGACAATTGACTCGCTAGTCTTGCGCCCTTTGAAGTTTAGCTCTTGTCTGACCTTTCGTTTCATTCCTTCGAGTAGAGTTTGTTCTCCAGTTGAAACACCTTTGAATTTCCTTGGAGGATTAATGCATGCTTCGCAGACCAATAATCCTAGAAATCCATTTTGAAGACAGCTGCAATGAGTTAATTTTCCACAGCGACCACATGGATGAGACTGGTCACATGGCTCTAGGGGGTTAATGCCAGAGCGGTTGGCTGTACAAGACCCTGTTGGTTGCTGACCAGCGCGTATCTTCTTGTTTGCAATATCAACAGCCTTGCATATATCCATCCATGTATCAGTAAGACTGCCAGTACGTTTCCAGGTTGTATGGCCAATTGTAATGATCTCCTTAGCCCATGTAACATGGGAAGAGATGATAAAGAGTTCTGGTAGACCTGATGTATTTCGATGAACTGGGCTAGAGGGCCTAATAGAGCACACTTTAGTGTCTTGCGCAATTATAAATAGACCATGGTTGTTGTATAGGCGAGGATGAGAGCTGAACTCGTCTGACACAACTCTGAACCATTCCTTCAGGGACTCTCCATTGGTCAGTGGGCTTTTTCTTGACCACTTCTCAAGACAGAACCTCAGGAGCCTTTCAGCACGTTGAATATCACTGGTCATCGTCGGGCTCCATCCCCATTCTGGTTTGATGTTTGATGGGAATTGACCAGTTTCATCCGAGGATACCCATGTCCTGCGATTATTATAGCTGACCAATACTTTTGCGGTGGGAGGTTCAGCAATAATCTTTGTGGGTTGAGCAAATAACCCGAGGCGCCTGCAATCAAGAGTCTCACTATCAATATAGAAAAAATTCCCATAAATCCTACTTGGTTGAGGGGCCTAGTTAACAATTATAGGTGATAATATCATTGGCGGCAAATGTGGTAAGACGCTTGCCTGTGCTGCTGTAAATAAAGCGATACTTAAATTTAAAGTTGGACCCGGAAGCTTATATGGTAATAGTTGGTCGATTTGTGGCCATCTCTTGAGGGCATCTTGAACTTTATTGAATATCGTCTGAAGTTCATCGAAGCTGAAGACTCCAGGTCTGATGCGCATGAAATTTCTAATACGACCAGTATCAGAGCATCGAACTTTTAGCTCCTAGACTGGTCTGTTTGATGCATCCGGTACCATTTCAATTATTGGGTCATAATTTCTGTTTGGACGGACGTAAAGCTTTGGATTCTGATAGATAAAATCAAATGGATCCTCTCCCTGACCATCTGATATTGAAGGTGGCTGCACATGTGTAATAATCTTTATATGAGAGCGTAGATTTTCAAACTTTCTTTGGTAATGTTGATCCCGGCGGGTGAAATCAACGGAAACCTGACCATCTAAGGCTGTTCCCGTGGAAGAATGGCTCGTTGTATTAGTCCTATCATGGTCTGCGAGTGGCCAGGTATGCTCCGTGAATCTATCAGTGGTATTACTGATATCTGCTAGAGGTTGTTCGTCTAGTCGAGGCTCGATTTTTATCTGACGATCAGCTTGATGGTCAGGGCTAGAAGAGTCGCTTTTGATCTGAGAAGTGCTCTGAGGGTTGGATCTAAAAGGGTTCCTTTCTGGCTGAGGGGTAACCCAACGGTCAAAGCCATAAGGGTTAATTTCTGTTTGATGACCATCTTGAGGATTAGGGCTGGAAGGGTCGCTTGTATTCTGAGAAGTGCGCTGAGGAGGATTCGTTTCAAGTGGAGGGGTGTCCCAATCGTCAAAGTCGTAAGGGTCAATTCCTATCTGATGATTATCGTCAGGGCCGGGATCGTAACTTGAATTTGCCTCGGACGCTATTGTAGTATATCTTATTAGCATCCAGCGAGGCTGGTCAGGAACAAGGGGCTATGCAGGAAGATGTAGTAGCTTTTGAATCCTCGTCGGTCAGAGGAGGAGAACTAGCAGCACGCTGACGTCGCTTTGCACTTTCGATCGGGACGCTGGCTGTATCGAATGCTATTTCTGCAATCCTTTTGCTAGCCTTAGAAGCGGCAAGCCTGGTTGGTCGCTGACCAGCCATCGTGAGGTGGTTTGCATCAATAAACGCTTTTGGTCAGAGATGAACAGGAATTGACCACACGGTGGGATATGCATTTCAGAGATAGCCCTTAATATTTTACAAGGAAGGAGCATTGGCATCTACTATTGCTCCCTGCTTATACAGTTGGCAAGAGGTTATTGGGTTGGACCAGCTTGTACCTTCCGTCCCTAGAAATAGCACAGTTAAGGTGGAGTAGGGGTATGATTGCTATGATGTTGTTAGAAGGAAGACATCTAGAACCTCCTTGCTGTAAATTCTTCTTCTTCTTATCTTAATATTAATGTAGTATATGATATATCGTCTTCTGCACCGCTTAGGGAGTCCATAATACTACATAATATAAAATTAGAGCTCGGGATAATAGATTAACCCCAATAAGTCTACATGCAGTACAATTCAATGCCGGTAAAGCAGTCCCAAGGCAAGCGAAGCTTTTTTAAATCACTTATCTCAACGGAAGACAGGTCGGTCAGGTCCGCAGCTATTGCTTGTCACAGCAGCAGACAGGCTGGTCAGGGCCACAGCGACCATTCGTCTTAACGAGAGACAGGCTGGTCAGCTATGCAGCGATCGCTTTTCATAGCAGCAGGCAGCCAGGTCAGCTTCGCAGCAATCGCTTGTCATAACGGAAGACAGGCCAGTTAGGTCCGCAGCGATCATTCGTATTAATGAGGGATAGGCTGGTCATGCCCGTAGCGATTGCTTGTCTTAACGGCAGACAGCTAGGTCGGCAACGCAGCGATCTCTTGTTATGACGGACGGAAGACAGGTGAGTTAGCTACACAGCGATCGCTCGTCTTAACGGCAGACAGACTGGTCAGCGTTACAGATATCGCTTAAAAGTGAAAACAGATGAGATAAATAGCTGCAAAAGTAGTAGACCAGGCAGCAATAGGTGTAAAATACCTAAGCCAGAGGCATAAATTCTCTTGTAGTAATGTCTGAAGAGGGCCTCTATTATAATGCCATCACTAAATAACCAAGAAAGACTACCTAACGGAAGGCACTAATAAGGCCTCGTAAGTCATATGGTATAGCCTCTAGTTTTCTTACATAAAGAGCAGTATACTAGGTCAACTAGGCCTTTTTGACATGCTAGGCTTATATGCCTAGTTAAGAAATTAGTTAAAATCAAACAGATAAAGATTTATCGAGGCACGAGATGACTTTGTAGTTTGGAAAGAGTCTGTAGTTAAGAAGTCTTAAAAATGAGCTCTTAAATGTAGTAAGAAAGCGCTACTAGGAGCCCGTGTATCTTTGAAATACCTAACTAAAGAAAACCACCTTCCTATCTTTCCGTCCAGCGATAAATAGATTCTCTGTAGGCAAATTGTAAGTAATCCCTTAATACTAGGAGAGCTTGTTCGCATCCGTGGGTTGGTGACCAGCCTGTTATTACTGAACTTCAGCTGTAGGTAAGGTGAATATGCTAAGCATCAGATCTCCTAACTAACTCTTGTTATATGTGTAGAGCCACTGCAAATTATGGAGCCTTCCTGGAGCGTGGTCGCATCACCTTTCCCATTTAAGCTCAGACTTGCCTCACTTTCTCCTTACTCGTAAGACTGTGACCTCTATCTACCTCCACATTCTACTAATATTTTCAAGCACCTTCTCCTTCCTCCACCTTACGCTACAATTAATCATCTGGTCATTAATACTATATCGCCATACTTTTACAACCTTGTATTTGCCATTTTGCTCTCCTGGGCCTTGGCTTGGGTTGGTCACCTGCAACATGGCTGACCAGACAATACCGACCCTTGAAAACAAACCAGCTGCATCTTTGGATGTCAATCAAGTAGCACCTCGCCTGCCCGCAGTGGGCTCGCTATCCCCTCCACCTGACGAAGGAGCCATGATCTGGATCAAGTGGTCAGATATCTTTACTGAGACAGATAACGAAGAGGATACGAAGCGGGCATGGATGGTCTACCTTACATATCTCAGAGAAGGCATCAACTGGACCCCTGCTGACCACGTTGAGATGAGGAAGTATCTGGTTGTCCGACGGCTCTACCAGCTTAGGAACGAGAGGCTCATTATGCCGAACACTCATCAACTATATCGAGCAGCTAACCTCAGACAAGAGGACCTTACCCTTGCAGTTGGTCACTTGCTTACTACTCTTTACCCCTACTACCATGTTCACGAGTTTTGGGAATTATACAGAAGAGTGTACCCAGCTGTGGCTGAAGGGGTCAGAAGGAGCCGAAGACCAAGCGAGAAGAATCGAACAAGCGGAAGAGGAGAGATCACTGCTCTTAACAACGATAGCCTATCGGCTTTATCCCAGAGTATAGGTGTTGGGTCATATCTCGTCGAAATCCCTCCCCACCTACAGTGGAATGAAGAGCAATTAGGAAATTCTGGACCCTCAACCAACACGACCTCGTCTAGTATCCTACAACTTGGCTCATCCGCTCTGACCCATGACGCAGAGATGACCAACACAATCCAGTCTCTCGGTGCTAGTTACGGAGATGCTACGCCATCCGCTCCAGACGAAGATACAGAGATAACCAACACGACCTCGTCTAGTATCCTACAACTTGGCTCATCCGCTCTAACCCATGACGCAGAGATGACCAACACAATCCAGTCTCTCGGTACTAGTTACGGAGATGCTACGCCATCCGCTCCAGATGAAGATACAGAGATAGCCAATACGACTCTGCCTCAAAGTCCTGGTCACGAAGATACTGCACCACCTGCTCTAAGTGAAGATGCAGAGATGACCAACATGATCCCGTTTCTCGGCGCGAGTCAAGAAAATGCTGCACTGTCTGAAAATGCGGAAGTGGCTAATACAGTCCCGTCTTACAATTCTGGTCATGAGAACATCGCCCCGCAAAGCCCGGCTGACCAGCCTTTTCCCAACGCCACCTTCTACTCCCCTGGAAGAGTGTTCAACAACGCTATAAACCAGTTAAGGGGGGAAGGAGTTGACGTTAACTATATCAACCGGTCACTACCTATGCGAACTGCAGAGGCAACGAGGGAGGAAGGAGTTAATGTTAACTCCGCTAACCAGGCACCAGCTATCCTAAATTCGGGAACAATAAAAGATGAAGATCTTTCTCATGATGATGCGGAGCTCTTATCACTCCACGAAGGAGTTTTAAACAGCCCTTTCGTTATATCGAATCTATTTCGACGATTGTTTATATTACAACGAAGAATAACCCGACTCGAGGAAAAGGGGCATAATGACCAGACAAACGGAGATAAAGAGAGGTCAGCTTTCTTTGCTGAATTAACCGCGAATTACAATCAGCTCCGCACCGACCTGAACCAGCTAGTAGGACGAGTTGCTGGAGGAGAATTCTATCGAATCAAGGGGTGGGAACATTATGATAAAATGGTGACCAGGCTTGAGCGTCAAGTGAATAGATTTCTGAACGGTCAGATTCTTACACAACAAAATGCTGAGGCCCATTCGCTACAGGCCCCAGCGTCTCAGCCACCAGGGGTTGGTCCTGATCTCCCGACCAACCTGTGGCTAGCCTATGAAACTCAACGCAACCAACAGATTTCACAACGTCTATCGAAGAGGGTCCGAAAGTGTGAAAAGGACATTGCCGAGGAGCATAACACTGCTATTGATTTCAGAGTTGACCTCACTGCTAATGATAACATGGCAAAATCCCAGGGAGAGATAAATTCACGGGTTGTCAAGGCCTTGATATCCATCCTAGAGCGACCTAGGGCAGACGCACCTTCCGAAGCTGAGATGGAAAATTTGAGTGCTCTGGTCGATTGGCACCGTAGGCGAGACGGGTGAGACATGCTTGGTCATTTACTTACAATATGATTGGTCCGAAAACGATATGGGATAAAGCTCTGGGATTACATGGTCAATTTCGCGATGGGACGTTTTTGCTTCGTTTATTCTTTACCTTATTAGGCATGGGGCGGCTCTCTTATTTTCTGGGTTTTTTTTTTCGATCGTTGCTGGTCAGCTTGGCTGATATTCACTTAAATTTCGCCAAATATGCATCTTCAGGACGAAGCTTCTAGGAACGGGTCACCTTCAGTCGATTAGAATTATCATTAGCTTGGTCTATTGCTAGTTAGACCTTAACTTATCGTCGTCATCCTCCTCTCTGCCCATAAAGTTCATCTAAATCTGACCCGTTACACCCTCCGAGTTCACTTCACCCCAATAGATATACTTGGCGGTTCAAGTTAACCCAATAACCCTAGTGAGACCGAAACACAATGCAAGAAGCATTCACTGTGATCTCAAAGCCAAAGACTGGCAGGACCTGGCTGGTCAGTAAGCATCGGAGGTCAGGCCGCCGTCGAGCGCCAGTCCAGATTAATCGTTTTCAAGATTCATAATCTGCCAGGGCTTCGAGAGGTAGATTCTTGTACCCGTCGTGGGTTGAGCCTGAGGCTATGACGACGATGTCGGGGTAGGCCTCGTTGATGGCCTTGAGGAATAGGGGGAAGCGGTACTCCTGGTATGAGTCCCACCCGGCCGGGTATCCTGCGAGCCAGTCTTCGTTGCCGATCTCGACATATCGAAGAGGGAACGGTTCGGGATGGCCCAGCTCAGCGCGGACGGCGCCCCATTTGGTGTCGACTGAGCCGCAGATGAATTCAATCTCGTTGAGGCCATCGCTGATTACGGCGGGGAAGTCTTCCTCGGAGGTTAGGCCCCCGTCGAGCGCCAGTCCTGCCCAGACTCCCACAACTACAGAAACAACACGCTTGTCAGTTTTGCCATTCAGGTCCCCAGGGAGCTATCAGCGTGGACTAACCGATTTCAAGATCCATGTCTTCTGCCCACTCAAGATATTCCATAATACCGAGCCCGTGGGTTTGCTGGTAGCCCCAAACACCCTGGAAACCTGGGCGGTCCTTCAGGGGGCCGATTGTGTCTTTCCAATCCCAATATGTGGTGTTGGTCAGACCCTCGAGCATGTTACCGCCTGGGAATCGCAGCATCGACTACAGGAATAGCTCATGTTAGCCGACTGAAATTCTCTCTTGCTGAATCATAAACGACCGAGCTGGCTGCTAGCCAATTTACTGAGAACTCACCGGATGAAGCCCCGCAAGCGCTTCCGCAACGTCAACTCTCAGACCGTTCTTCCTGCCTTTGTATGTCGGCGGGAACAGGCTGATGAGATTGAAGTCAAGCGACTCCTCGCCCTCGGCGAGACCGGCAGGGTCAAAGAGCAGCGCAAATGTGTTGTTGCTGTTCGGCGCGTCCTCGCCGGGGGTCAGCTCAAAGGTGTGCTCAACCCACTCGCCCGCCGCGGCCTTGCTCTCGACCTCGACGCTGCCAAAGACCTTGTCGTCCTCGAGGGCGCTCCGCAGCTCCGCGGTGAAGACTCCCTCGTATGCGCCATAGACCCAGAACGTCCCCGTGTAGGCCTGCTGGCGAACGTCGATGCCCCAGTACCCGTCGTTGAAGAGGCCCACGGCCCCGGAGGAGTCGCTGCTGGGGGAGACGGTCACGGAGACTGGGAGGGCCTTGGACAGGGGAGTGTCCAGGCGGTTGAGGGCTAGGTTGGCGTTGTTGAAGGAGTGCCAGGCGTCGAGAGAGACCGGGAACGAGTCGCTGTATTGGAAGGCACGGTTGCGGATCAGCTCGGCGTAGATCCCCCCGTCCCCAGACGAATTGATATCCTCAAGTCTTTGTAAGTGAACTGGCATTAACCATTGACGAGAAGAGTGAAATTTACCTCGTGAAGAAAACCGTATTGATGGCCACTAGTAGCATTCCCGCCCGAGGAAACCTTGATCTCAAAGCTAAAGGCTGGCAGGATCTGACTGGCCAAAGCGGCCAACGTGAGCGACTTCATGGTTACTCGATAAAAAGGAAGTCCTCAAGCTTCTGTGTAAACACGGTGGAAAACAACCTGACGGCCCTTGCCCTACTTATAGCCAGGCTCCCCATCCGATCTCCGTACATCCCGTGAGCTCATACTTTCCAATTGGCCTACCGTTTCCGACTCTCTCTCCTCCACGAAAGAGCCCGCTGTCCATTCAGACTGCGTCGCTTCAGAAATCATCCAGGAACATGCACCTCCCGCCGGCAGAAGTGCTCGGCAGTTTTCCACCCCGGATAAGCTCGCCCCTCCGAATCTAGGAGGTCGCAACGTCGATCTTGGAGAGCCCGGTCCAAAAGGGCTGTTCTTGATGCGACATACGCCTACGCGCCGCCAGTCGATTCGTGCGCATACCTTTGTTCCTGCTTGCACGATGCTTGGTTCCCCCGCTTTGGTTCGGGACTTACCCACCCGCCTGCATGCAGGTTAATAAGGATGGGCCGCTCTGTTGATGTTGGGCCTGAGGAGCAAGCGACTGACATAAAACATGGCACACTAAAGCTCTTTTCATGCAAGTCAGGGACCTCATTTTCTTATTAATAATACTAAATATAATAATGAGTTAATTCTAAATTATTCTATAGTATTTAGCTTGATATTGTGTTTATTACTAGGTTAATTGTTTTGATATTATGTTAAGATTCAACGCTGGAGGTTCTGGGTGTGCCATGTTTTATGTCAGTCGCCTGAGGGGCTTGTTCGCCATCCTTATTTACCCTAATATGTGGAGAAGTTGGCGACGAGGTGAGCCAGGCTCGTCCCCTTGATTCGAGCGCTTCGCCCCAGCTGCCCCTACAGTCGCCCTGCAAGCCTTCGGGTTTGCGGTGTTCCAACGTACTGTGGAGTTAGCCCAGCATGGTAGAACGAGTAGATATGTTGCGGAAAATACGACGCTACAAGAGGTGGGAGTAATATGACGCAAGATATGGAAGCAACATACTACAAGGCACGACGAATGGGATGCTCCTTGACGGTTCAGAACGTGGATGAGCGTGCGCTATTCACATGTGGATGAAGAACGAGGAGTGACGACGACTCTATACAACTGCTTTTTCTATTTTCTAAACTGGTCGGTTCTCGAAATGCATCCAAGAAACAAACGAGCGTTCTCCATATATCTATCGGAATCGACATCTATGCCGCAAAGGAAATATTAATGAGTAATATCTCGAAACAAGACCTAAGACGAGACTTAGAGCTCGAGAAGAGCCTTGGCACCAGGCTCGCTGCACACGTAGATGACATCGTGTGAGTTGGAAAAGCCATTGAACTGCGTGGCCGAGCACTTGGTGTAGGCACCCATATCCTCAAAGTAGAGCCAGTCGCCGACGTCCAAGACGGGGTCGAAGCGAATGCTCTCCGAGATGCGGTCGATGCCGTCACAGGTTGGGCCCCAGACAGAATACTCGACGCCCTCGCCAGCGGGAACAGAGTTGGCATAGGGTGTGTTGTATAGAGTGCGGCCACCGGTGCGCAAAATCTTGGCAACGGGGTTCTGGTGATCGAACATGATGCTCGAGAAATTTCCGTAGACGCCATCATTGACGTACACCATGTAGCCCTTGCCATCGAGGGTAGGATCCTCAACGGTGCGGCGAGCAATGATGTTGCACGCAATAGTAAAGGCAGAGTACACGTAGAATCGTCCGGGCTCCGCAATGATGTTAACATCACTATGAGGAGGGAAGAACTCGTTGAGCGCGCTGTCAAGAACGGCGGCCATGGCCTCAAAAGTTTCACCACAGAAACCACCTCCGACATCCAGGGTTCGGAGAATAAAGCCGTAGTCGCGGGCCTTCTGGAAGACGTTGTGGGCGTCACGGACAGCCTTGAAGAAAGCCATGGGGTCCGAAGCGCCAGATCCAACGTGGAAGCTGACGCCCACAACATTGAGGCCGAGGTTCTTGGCGAGAGCAAGGAGGCTCTCGGTAGTATCCATGGCGGCACCAAATTTCATGCTGAGACGGCACAAGCTGGACTCGTCATCAGTCATGATGCGAAGGAAGAGCTCTGCATCGGGGAAGAGCTTGGCAATCTTGTAGAGCTCATCGGCGTTGTCAAAAGTCATCTGCTTGACGCCAGCAGCTTTGACGTAACGAACATAAGAGTTCGTCTTGCAGGGCTGGGCGTAGATGATGCTCTCGGGCTTGACGCCCATCGAAAGAGCCAGCTCAATCTCCGTCTTAGAGGCGCAATCAAAGCCAGTGCCAAGTGCCGAGAGAAGCTTGATGACCTTACGGTCGGGGTTGCACTTGACGGCTACGAATCAATGGTTGGTCAGCTCAATTGAGGAAACAATGGCATGGTTGTTTGAGTGTGCTCACCATAGAAAGGCCTGACGCGAGGAAGATTCTTCTTCCAGCGAAGATGCTGGCGATAGACATCTCCTAAGTCGGCAACATAGAAGGTATCTTCATCGCCAGGATCACACATTTCATGGTCCACAGCTTCCACCCGCTGGTGGAGAGCCTCACCAATCAACTGCTTGGGGTCGATAGCATCATTTTCCTGATGAAAGCGAAGAGGTTCACCGATAAGATGAGGTTTCTTCACAAACAAATGATTGTTTGTTTGTACATGATGATAATCAAGAGTAGCAGTTGCCAACACCATATCCTAGGCTTTTCGGGCGAAGACTAGGCGAGAGAAAAATTGAAGGGGTGGTGTTCAAAGGGGGACGACTGATTCGACCTCTACTAAGAAAGCTTGTTCGAAGTAGCAGCACAACAACACAGGAGAGTGTTGTTAATGAGACAAAAAGTTGGGCACGAGCACTTGGCTATGGGCAAGTGTTAGGGTGGTCGAAAGCAGTAGCAGACAGTCCCCTCGATGGATTGGCGAGGCCTCCTCGACTCTTCCTCAGCGAGAGGAAGAGACACAGGTTCCCTCCTATGCGGCAGCTGAGATGGTTGGGGAAACAAAAGGTACGGTGGTGGTCGGTGGCAAGAGCCGTCGCCGGTCAAGAGAAGATATTCGACAAGTTTAGAAGACCTCAGCAGCGAGTGCGGGAGGAGGAATGGCGTTGATGATGTGGGAGGTCTTGAGCAGGCTGAAATCTTTGTCACTGACGAGAACCGTGATGACGGCGGTGCCTTTGAGACGACCAAAGGCAGTCGGGAGACGGGGATAGGGAGCTCTGTGGACCTAGTCAGCAAGTGATGTTCGTCACGTCACCGAGAATATAGCAGTATAGCAAGCAAGACGAGCCACATGAGGCCTCCGAGGCTCTGTGTGACCTCAGCTGCGGCTAGTGATCACACTCTCGTCTCTCCACCAGACGCCCAACGCAATACCAGCGATGCGAGGAACGCCCGCAGGAAAGTAGATGAGGTGACGGCAGCTCATGTGGCATGTCGAGTGGCAAACAGGCGGCAAAGGCTCACGTACCGTGTGATGAAGCACAGAGCTATGGGAGCGGTTTGAAAGCGATTCGCAACTCGTTTGCGAAGTTGCGACGGGCTGGAGACTGCTCGTTGGACAGAGCTGTTGATCGGTCGAATTGGTTGTAAGCGCTGGTTTGGATTTTGTTTGTACTATCAAGATGATAAAACGCTGTGGGCGGGCGGTTGGCGGTGGATGGAGGGGGGCTTGAGCAGCCTTTTTATTTACTACGGCACCTTACCTAGACCTGTCCCGGTGCTCTCCTGCTCCATGGCAGGAGGAGCTAAAAGCTTCTGAAATTTTTCGCCGAATGACTGGGGTGGTGTGTCATGTACATGCATTTACATGCAGCCACCCGCAGAGTGTCAGGTACCCTGTACAGCTCGCATGTCCCGCCCACCACCACGAAGCAGCCACCACGGACGAACCTGCCACATTATCAGGTACCGACCTTGCGTGCTCAATTTTTCATCGCCCTGTTTCCATACACAGCCCATCCATCATCATCATCCATCCATCCTCGAGCTCCAGCCACATCAAACACACCTCGCGCGTTCCCAACCTGGCCCGCTCTTTCGACCCGACCAGAGCTTCAGACCCGCCAGCCTTGCGACTAGCCCTGCCGTCTGAAAGCTTACCTAGCTGTTAGACGGTGTGAGGTCCTGCTGCTATGTGCTCCCCTGATGATCAATGATGCAAGCCCATTGACTTTGGAGCGGGAAAATCGTTGCCTTTCGGAAGCGGGCACATCCATCGGGTGGGCGATGCACGAAGCGGGTCATGCAGCAAGCCTGCGGATTGACGTGTCCCAGGCAGATCTGCCCAATCGGCGAAACTCCTTTTCCATTTTCTCCTGCCTCTAGTCTCGCTAAAAGGACCCGGTCCAGACTGCTTATTCCCTGCCCTGTTCCCTGTATCCGCGTTGCCATCGCCTCTCCTGCTCACCTCCTCCCTCGCCGCCTCATCAGGTGATGGATGAAATGAGCCGTCAAGTTGTAGAGTAATTATGAGCCGTTATGAGCGGAGAAAATGATTTAGATTTGACAATTGACAGTGTATTGCCTCGGAATACTTGCCATTGGCGGTCAATAACGCAGCGATACCGGCCACGGACTCCAGAATAAGCATTATACCGCTCGAGCGTATCAACTTCAATGTCACCCGGTTGCTTGCATGGGAACATGCCATCAGTCCTCTAGGTTTCGCGAGAGGCCAACCGGAAATGGAACTGAGACTGAAAATCATCCTCCCGGCCTTTCAGCGAGCAGTAGCTCCACTTCACCGCGTCCAACAATTGGAGCTGTCCGCTCATCTATCACCACCACGACGTTACGTATGCACGCTTTACCCTCAACAGTGAGGATTTGGCTAGCAAGTCATTTATGAATTACTGTCATTATGAGCAAGACAAAACTCTACCTCCCATGGTCATGCGACCAACTTCCTAACTTGTCCCATGGATCGCAACCGTAGCTCCTGTCGGTGAAGTAAATGTGCGCCGTGAACCATAATTCGTGGGCCGCTTAACTCTACCGCTGTCGGAACAGCGATCAACGACTCTCTAAAAACAGCCATCCGATCCATCGGTGCAT